CCTCAGCCGGGCCGAGCCCCCGCTGGCAGCCGGCCGGGCCGGGCCGGGCCGCACCTGTCGCCGCCAGCCCCGGGGAGCCGCCGGGGAGGGTTATCGACCTCCGGTGGCAGCAACGGGGGCGTAGAGCCTTTTCCACGGAGGAGAGATTTTCAGCTTTTCCTGAGCTAGTTCTAATCGTATGCCATCACCACAGTTGTAATAAAGAAATGCCCTTTGCAGGGGTTGTGCGGGCTGCCGCTGACGGGCACTCACCGTTCGTGAAACGCGCCCAGTCGCACCTCTCAGATGTGCGTTTCTCTGAGACGGCTGACCTCCACCTCCTCTCGGTCTCTGCGCATCAGAAATACTGATCGGTAGCTTTCGGACAACCCCCACATCTCCAGATAACCCAAATTTGTCTATTTTGTAGTGAGCAGCAAAGAAAAAGAAATCTCAAGCCATGCCCCCCCCACAAAACAGAATTGGAGACTACTCATCACATGCACAGGTTTGTCACACGTTCCCTTTTCTCCAACAACCTTTAACTTCATTATTTATCCTCTATAGCACTGAATATTTTCAGAAGAGAAGCTAACAACCTCACCTGCAGTTTGGGAGTTAGGGAATTTGTTCCCTCTCCTTATACTCATTAATGAGATGTAAGACAATATAATGAAAATAAAATGAAAGAAATGTAAGAAAATATAATTAAAATTTCCTTTTATTTCACTTAAGAAACAGCATATGTTGTTTTATTTTGTACCATCTCTTTTGGGAGTTAGATCTCTTCATAAAGTATAAGCATGGAATTCAACATTCATTGCACAAGAACTCCCTGTAGGAAAAAAAACAGGAATTCAACATTCATTGCACAAGAACTCACTGTAGGAAAAAAACAGGAGCTAGAACAACTGATTTCATGAAACTCTTGCTTTTATTGAATACAATGTTGCAGGTAAATAAATACATAATATCGGTGCCAACGCATTTCTCCACCCAGTACAGCTCGTGAATATTTGTTGTTAAAATTTCTGCAAGAGGCTGATCCTTTTCTCTGTTAGAAGCAGACACCTCTACTGGAATACATTTAGTATTATTATGATTGTATTTCTTTACATGATTAAATAAATTTAAAAAATAATAATAATGCTAAAGTCACTTCTGAAATACCTTATCCAAGAACAGCTTGCTTTGTGGTTCCAACTATTAAGGAAAGACCACAAATGGGAACATAACTAAATTACCAGCTGTTCCGTCAGCAAAGCAAACATCACTCTGTTGTTGCTCTGTGCAACGCCAGAGGACTGCTACTGTAAAGTGGCTGAAGGTAGAGCTCCCTCATCCATCCTCACATTAATCTTCTTTTCACATAAAAGGGCATTTCAGAAAGCCTGGCCTATTAATCCTTCCTTAAAATGCTAAACAAATCCTGTACGGGGGGGAAAAAAGCAAGCTGCAACAGTGTCAATCGAGCAAACAGTTCTCATTTTAATGAAAGCTGTGCTGTGTGTGCAGGCACAGCGCATTCTGGAGGGAGAAATAAATAAGTTCTTCCTGCAGCCATGTTGGGCATGGGGATTCACTTGGTATCAAGTTCAATCCTCAATATTTGGGCACACTATTAATCTATTTACATACCACCAGTTGTCCCCTAACATTTTAACAAAATTAGCCTTTGACACTGAGCCATTTGCATATTATTTACCAAATAAATTTTTACTGGTTTTTTTCTGCTTACCAAAATACCCTCTCTGACTACAGAGTGTTTCAGGAAAATATATGCGTTATATGTTCTGTGGTTTTATCTCCTATCTCTCACTCCCAGAAGCAGCTTTCTAAGAGTACAATTTCATCTATAGCTTGACAGCTTTCTAACCAAAGAAGCAGCAGCAAACACTGACTATATTTAACATTCACAACTGAGCAATCTCACGGATCCCTGAGACAGGTTTCTACCAGTTCATATGAAGGGCTTTGAAATAGCTAGAGGCTAGCAGCTCTTTCCAGACAGGAATGATACCAGAAGGTACGGGCTCAGTTTTACTCATAGATCCATTCATGAGCACAGCTTCTGTAATCGACCACTTCTTCAGGAGTAAACCATAAATTGATCTCTGTCTCAGCACTTTCTACAGAATCACTTCCGTGAATGATGTTCCTAGGAAAAGAAAAGGTGCATATAATGGTAATATAATCCTCAAACTCAAAGCAAAGCAAGCTTCAGTTTTTGAAGTGGTCTCCGTCATGGAGAGAAGTTGTAAGTAACCATAAAGTAGTAATAGGCACGGAGTATGCAGTCCCAGCTTTGCTCATCCTTTTTTGTCAACGGGGAAGACCACAACTGGACTTCCATCTTTGGGCAGTAACATTACATGGGCACAGGAAACAGCTGCTCCATCCATAAGACAGAGAAGGATGGAGCACAGTTCCTGCATATATCATGACATATATCATGACATACTACTGGACATTTAGCATGTTTAGATGATATCAATAATTTCATAATATACCTTCCAACTTGAACGCAGAGGTCACCACGAATAGTGCCAGGCTTTGAATCAAATGGATTAGTTTCCCCCAGCATCACTCTTCCAGTCTTAATCACGTTAAGACCTTCCCACACCTTAAAAAAAAAAAAAAAGGTCCATTGAGATTGTTAAATCTTAGCAGTACATGAAGCAGCAAGAATTAATCATACCTTCCAGAATTACACAATGCTGTCCATCATGGCACAAATCACCATCCAAATACTCCTAATAGCAAGACATATTTTATCTCCAATTTTTCTGTCGTATTCTTGAAGTATCTGCCGAAGTTCTCCCCTTCAGCACAACACCTCTCCTCACCAAGGATGGGAAGAGGGTTATTTCAAACTTCAATATGGTGAACAGCCTTCCAAAGCTGTCTGCTCACTGAAGATCTAGACCTGCAGCTCAACTATTTTACAAATATACTGTCAAGGAAAAAAAGAGGAAATCCCTTCTCATGAAGTTAGACTGAAAAATATTTTTGAAGTTGCTATAGCTTAGGAGTAAAGTAAAAATATTTCTACCATCATTTTTCAGCATACTTAATACACGGCATTTCCCAGTGGTTTTGTTGTGCAGGTCTACTGTTTCTCAAGGTCCCAGCTTTGGTTCCCCGTTACCCCTGCCCTCTTCATCAACTCAAAGGAGAGAAAGAATATGAAAAAAAGATGAAAGAAAAAGGAGTTAATAGTACAGCTTTCTAATTACAGTATTTGAATCTAGGTTTTAAAGTCCCTTTAAAAGTAAACTAGAATTCAATAGGTAACACAATCTTATTGCAGGTAAGACAATTAAACAGTTTATTTTTCTTAGCTGAGCTTCATTTTTAAGAGCTCACCATAGCTACAATAGGTCCAGAGTGCATATACTGCACCAGACCATCGTAGAACGGCCGGTCTTTTAGGTCAATGTAGTGTTCTCTCAGGAGATCTTCAGAGGCCTGCATTAAAAAACAGACAAACAAAAAAGCTTACAGTAAGAACTTAAGAGCATACTGAAATCACACAGATTAACCACAGAGCACTATTAATCCTAAAACTTGCACGCACTCGAAAATTCACCATTTCTAGCCTCTTCCTAGAAGTACTTTCAGTCAATAAGAATTTTAACTGTTTGCTTTAACCTCAGCTGAACACAGACAATACAGACAGCTTATGTGACCTGGTATTTGCTGAAAATATTCGGAGGTATTTATTAGGTAAAGGATGCACCTAAAAGAATTTTCTCTTCAGACTAAGGACATCAGGTTACTAAAATTAGCGTGCTTAGTGTGTCTAAAGCATTTAGCCAGAGCTGGGAATTGGATTTTTTCCAAAATATTCAGACTCCTCAAAATTTCAGGTTTAATTGTTCTGAAGACGCCATTTGTCATTACAGCATGCTACTCTATTTTAAGGCTGCAGCTTCTAAGGAAAAGGAGACATACCAATTAAGGAAAGCTTACGTGTATTAATTTCATGGCCACCAGTTTGAATCCTTTCTGTTCAAACCGCTTGATGATTTCTCCCACCAGTCCCCGCTGGACCCCATCAGGCTTGATGGCGATGAACGTCCGCTCAGCGATAGAAGCCATCGTCCTAATGAGGAGGGGAATAAAAGTCATTATTCCAGGATCAGCAGGCAAGTGCAATCACAGCCCTCGATCGCGTGTAAAGTCAGCTATTATAATAATTAAATCGGCCTCATCTGAAGGTCATTAACTCATGGTCTGCACTGATTTAATAAATCAATCACTGCACACGGGGTTTTCACAAGTGTTAGAAAAGTACGTTTAAACACTAACAGCGCGGCCAATTATAGAAACAGGCAATTAGCAAATATTAACATGAGAAAAAGCTCTGAATGGAACAGAAGGTGCAGACTCTCCCAGACACACCTCCCAGTGCAGCATGGCAGGCTGCCGCCCACAATTTAGGGCGAAATAGGCTGAATAAATCCCTGTGCATCATTTTCACCCACAAACCAACACCGCCTCGGAGCAGCACTCTGCTGCCCGTGTGCGTGTGCCCGAACAGCTGGATGTGCCCAAACAGCTGTATGATGTGCCGGAACAGCTGGATGTGCCCGCAGGTAACGCACCGGTGCTCGCAGCCCCGCACGGGAAGGGGGATGTGTCACCGGGCGGGACGCGGCCGTCGGGGCCGTGCCGGTGCTGCAGACCAGCGCCGAGACGGGTCCGGGTTTAGCCGCGGCCCG